CACGCAACCTGAAGATCACAGTTTCGATGCCTGGTGGGACGGGGTGATGGGTGAGCACTGCTGAGGAGTACCATACAAGAATGAAATAGGTGTTCACTGCCCGCAGTCTTCCAATATTCCTCCATCTGACATCAGTTATGATGAATACCAACTTGAAAAATCACTAAATCTTCACACACCCCCAAATTAAATTATGTTTTAGCCTGTTTATTAAACGTATCACATTGGGAAATAATATTATTTACGAGATAGCTTTTCGGACATGACTTGTTGTCCCTAACGTCACAAAGAAAACTCTACAACTTTGAGATACGGCTTGTATACTTAGAATTTTCTCGCCTCCTTTGTGATAAGAATTTTTCAAATATTCAGAACAGGTTCTGAGTCATTCACATTGCATGTATTTAGTATTGATTCGATTTGTTTACCAATATCTCCCTTCACTTCACAAAAGTAGTTTCAAAAACTTTCACTCCATCTTATCGTATTCTTTAGTTGTGTGCAGGCATATGCAGAACAATAATCGAACATTTCTTGAGATTTCTTATCTTACTAGGGTTTAGCAATCTTGATTCAACTAAACTTTTGTGCTTGGACAACCTAATTGACTCTAGTCGACTATTTTGATCTAAGTGTTTGACGTTACAAATGTTGTAAGTTAAATTGTTTTGTCGAATCCAATCAATAGAATTTTTCAGTTTATAAAACTTATTTCTGAGTGAATTTTATGTGTTTAACTTCCATTCTGAACCCTAGTCTGCTGAAGAATCTATATAATACTTTGAGATGCCTTCGTTGAATATCTGAGAAGTGTAGTGTTACGTAATATGAATATCCGGTTACTGATTCACTATCACCTAGGTAGGTAGTGCAACATAAAGAGTTCTGTTTGGTCAGTTTCTTAGTAGTTTTCAGTTTAAGCTATGTGTTTTGGATGAAAATTCATCGTTTATGTGATATATAGATCAGCGATCTCGGTGAATAGTATTTTGATAGTGTGATTATGAACTATCGCTACCGTTACATGTGTTTAAGTTTCAAATTTGCGATTAATGGTTTTTCACTTATTCGTGCCATACTCCGAAGTGAAAATCGGTTGACAATGCATCCTAAGAGTCTATCACTTTCAATCCATCGGGATTAGCATTCATGCCGTTAAAGGTTATATTTACTCCATATATTTTTCCATAGATTATGTGAGGAATATATTGGTGAAGGAAAACCTGCATGCTTCTGGTTACATTCTTCTCGTGACCAATTTAAAGGCCTCATTACTATCTATGAGAACAATAGTCTACGAGCCAATTCTTTTTCTTACATTTACCGCCTATTCCTTGGGTAGGGCTTTAGATGTCAGTCCAGGTGTTACATTCGTAATGTTTGGATGAAGAACTGAACTAAGTTTATTTTTCTTGAGCATTTATCAAGAGTATTTTGTGAAGTAAATCAAATGTGAACTATCGATTTATCCCATAAATTGTCTACACTGATCACTTAGTGTTGAGATGATCCACCTGACTGAACTTTTATAGTTCCAAAACACCCTCAAGAGTGAGTAAACAGACATGGGATAAAATGTTATTGATCCAAATAGGAGATTTGTAGGGATATAATGCATTTAAGATAGTCCTTATCATGAAGAGATATCCTTTGGGAGAATCACAGAAACCTGGAATCATTAGATATCTATTGTATCCTATCACATGACTCCTTAGGTGATGCATACTCATGAACTTGTGATAGATTGAGAACGAAACCATTAGGTTTTGTACTGAGTGTGTTACAATCTAAGCACCATGTTAGAATCAATTGGTTTGCTATTTCCTACTTCTATATATTCACGATATAGGCTGACCGTCGATCGGTATCATCAGTGACTCACTTTGAAGTGGATTTTTCTAGGTCCTAATGAAAAACTGTAACGTGTGAAGTCAGCTAAGCAATGTGGTAAAACTAATACTCGCCAATGTCATAGAATCAAGATTGCGTTACATCGAGAACTGACAGAAGTAAGGAAACTTAAACAATAGGATTGTAACGCATTGACTTAATAGTAACTTAATTCCGTAACACCTTACGGTTCTGGGCTATATACCTGACAGAGTCAAGGGTGAGCTTTACCAAAAAGTCCCTTACTGGGAAGACACAGCTGTCCTGCGTCCCTGTCTTTCCCGAGGCTCTACAACTGATATCATCCCATGATAAATACCATCCTGAACTCAGTGTCCAGATGTTTTGTGGGATTAGACTTTAAATGTGATGGTTCTGTGCTTGATCAACCACATGGTTGTGCGGACGCACTAGCGAGGCATATCAAATTTGAACCAGTCGCCACCCAGCGCTCATAGTTTCTCAATAGTTCTTCATATGACTTCATGATGACTTCATATGAAGCAACCTTTGAAGTGTATCAGAATGAAACAGACAGAGACAGTACAACCAGGTCAACCTGCTATAGGCTTAGAGAATTCTTAAATACCCATGAACATTTTATGTATAAACATTCACTTCTATAATATTTCAAGAATTTCACAACCAAAATGAATAGAGATTTTCGACCTTATTGAAGACATTTCTTCAATGAAGAAAGCCTGCTTACTGCTCAGACATGCGATAAAATTTTTATAGATTTTTATTCTATGAAGAGATAGCTTCCACAACGTTGCTTACAATTATCTCAAATCAGAATCGATGACAGTGGAGGATAAACTTTTGTAACTCCAACTTCAACTCAAGGGACATACTGTAATTGACATTGTTTCACAACGCCTTTTATTCAGGTGTTTTTTGTTCAACTTTCAGTAATCGGTCAATGTTCAGTTCAAGATTTCAAGTATAGTTTATCTAATCTTTTTTTCCCAACTGGTAGATATCAATTTCCATTCATCCTATCGAACAAGTTACGTAAAGTGTACAATTAGGCAGATGTGTTTTCGGATAAGAGAACAAATTTTGGCTTAGTTTGGTGAAGGTAATCAAAAACTGTGTTTAGGCGTACTCAATAAACACAGGTTATAACACAGACACTAACATATCGTGAACGAAAAATTAACAACACTTCTAACTCATAAAAGCCTGCTCAACATATCTGAGTCTTTAGCTATAAGGTTGATCCAACATGAACTTTACATTCAGGAAGAACATATTTAGGAGTTATTTGTCTTATGGCCTTCGATAAACTAAAGACTATTCCCGTCTTCTCGATATGTTATCCACTCTTTTACAATCAGATTCTTAATCTGTAATGTGTCATATGAATTGTGAGAAGTTTGAAGGAAAAACTCGATGTTTTACAGTCCTTAACTCACATTCCCTTTGGGAAATGTATTCACCTCAAACGTGGTTTGTTTTTTATGCTGTACAATTCCATTTTATAACCGGAGAATCTAATGAGAATTCATTGAAAAGGACTATTTGTTGTTCAGATAGTTCTTAATTAATAGTATTATTATTATTTATCCCTTGGGTTCCTAATGGAACATACGGCTTCACTAGCACGTCTCCAGTGAACTCTGTTCTCTGGAATCTTTTGAACCCGGATCCACGACAGCCCACAAGCTCTCATTTCTTTCTTATACCATCTCCTCCATGTCACCCACATCTGGGATGCCCAACTCGTCGCTTTCCATCTGGGTTCCACTCGAGCGACCTGACCTGGTGAGTGATGTACCCAGTCGGCCTTCTGAGCATATGTCCAATCTCATGCATCTCCACTTCCTTCTGCATATTTGTTGAGCGATAGCTTCTTGGTTGGTTCGTCACCAGCCAGAGTTCCTTGTTGTTTATTCTTATTATTCTGGCCATCTTATCTTCAGTAACGAGCGTAGGTGGTAGTTGTTGATGAATGTCCGTAATTTGTTGGAAATGCTTTTTGAAACGCGCCAAGTCTCTGAACCATGAAGAGCAACGGACTTGACTGAGTTGGTGTTGAAAGTCGGCATCTTGTTCCACATGCTGAGTGCAGTGCAGATCTCCACACTGATTTCAGATTAATGAAGGCCCGTATCGCTTTTCCGATCCTGACTTTGACGTCCTCGTCTGTGCCTCCACCTGTAGTCTAAACGATTCTGTCTAGATAGGTAAAAGAAGCTACTGACTTTAAGTTTCTCCCATTGATGGTGATTGGAGCTTGTTGTTGTTGGTGTTGTTGGTTGGGTATCTTCATCACCTCTACCTCTGTCTTCTCTACTTTCGCTTGAAGTCCCGTCTTCGCTGCCTCGCCTCTTCTGTCAACTTGTTAGTTTTCGCCTGGTCTGCAGGCGACACAGGTGACACAGCTGCTGGACCCAAATATTTTATCTTTCGTCATCCATTCTATCTTTTCATTCCACGTATCTTACGTGATGTAACATTTATCGATTTGGTTGTGCACTAAGAACTTGACATAATGAAATTGGTTACCTTCCAGTAGCCAACCGATTGTTCTAATTCAGATTCACATAATATCAGTCACTGCCAAAAGAGCTTAGGTTTACAGCCTCTGACTGGAGCACCTGGTGATATGGGTTCGAATTCCAGGCAGTATGTCAGTTCCTAGAAGGTTATAAATACCCCATGTTGACGAGTGCCAACAAGTTCGGAACCTAGATTGAACAGGATTTCCTACTGACTGCCTACAACCAACTAACACCTATTAACTTGTTTTGTTTAATGTAACGATATTTTATACTAGGCAATGATTGAAGGTGAGATGAAAATTTGTACCGTGGCCGGATTCGAACCAGAGACCACCGGGTTTCTGACCCTATGCTTCACTAACTAAGCTACTAGATCGTTTTTCCTTGTGCACATGGTTAGTTCATTCTAGCTTAACAGTATTTTTCCCATTTTACGCCAATATAGTTTTCAATTTGTTCTAGACTGTTTGCAACTGAGGAGAAGCTGTAAAATTGTTCATTTTGAACTCCATTTCTCATCTCTATCATTTATAAAATTTCTATGCAAATTATATTAAAATTCATAAAAAGACAATAGTTATTACCGGCCAAAACTGTACTCACCTTTCACAAGCTCTTAATGTCCACGAATAAACAATCCAAAGGCAGAGTATAAAACCAAGTAGAAGTTTTCCTGGACACATGGTCATTAATGTTTTAAAAATAAATCTTGTATCAAAATTCACCTTGTTCATTGCTCCAATACTACGTGAACCTGCATCTGTGAACAGTTTAGAGTGTAACAGCATAACACGAAATAATAAGTATAACCTAAAAAACATTGGTACTGATAGAATCAAGTCAATGGATACAATTTTAACTGAAGAGTTATGTACACGATCGAATGAGTTATGTGAGAGAGTAGATGAAGAAAGGTTGGGTAAACTAGGCAGAGATTTATAACCAATTGGTTTACTTGTATTTAGCTTAGATATTGTTGGTGTTACTGCCGCTGTTGACGTTAGCGTGGGTATCATTCCTTCTGTATTGACTGATTTTGCAGACTGAGCACTATGATAGACAGGTGAGTAGATTTCAGTTCCTGGGCCAACTAAGGAAGACGATATAGGGAACTGAATAAGATATGATCCTGGAAAGGGGTGTATAATACAAATGAGTACTTCAAGTGTCATTTGAAATACACGATTATAATCAACCGCCATTCTCCAATCCTCGATTGAATCATCACAAGAAAATATCTAGATAAAAGGAATTGGAAAATCAAATAAAACACGAAGTAGTACGAGTAAATTTTGAATGAAAAATAGGTCTTACTCTGATAGTTTTTTGGTGATAGATAGTAGTGTAGTTCAAGATGTGCTTTTCGCCCTATTCAGGACTCGTCAGCTGGATGTACCTACGCCTCAGTTAGTGATGTTATTCTCACTGATATTTGAACTCATCACATCAGAGTGTTATCTACTGGGCTGCTTAAGCAGGTCTTACTTCTCACTACTAGCAGCATATATGAAATGCAGTCCTGAGCTTCATAGAAGCCTCTGAAGATACAGCTTAAATACAACTCGTGGAATTATTGTTGATTTAACTGAGTAATAAATGACTATGAACACCAACTGCTGAATACTAAAAGTCTTTACTGTGATGGAATCTTCCTTACTTTTAGGAAGTAAGAAACTGTTTCTCAACTACCAAATCACCCTCATTGACATTCGAGAGAAAAATGAAGATGCATGTGTGCAAATTTCATGATGCAAGCTAATAACTGAGGGTTTTCTGGTTGGAGCAAAATCTTGAATAGGCAGAATACTGATCAGTATCTTGTTTTACACCCCTAAGAATGTTGGATAATAAGTCTGAAGAGTGGTTGTTAGAATTCTAACTGCTATAATACACCCTTTCATCGTCATCAATCGTTCCTAGATGCGAAGTCTAATTGACAGGACCATTCTACTTAGTCTTATTGTCGAAATCCTTAAGTCATTTTGGGTAAGCATCGAAATTATTCTTGGTTTCAGAAATCTTACTAGAGGATTTCCATTGTCTGTAAGCACTAGGGAAACTATACGTAACTTCTGAATTGCAAGACGTATGACAGGTAAAAAAAACCAACACACAACCATGTACAGAAATACACTAGTTCAAGTTCCTACGCTGCACGCCAGTATGCAAGGAACAAGTGAGAAGACAGTGACAAAGGTGTACAGCAAGAAATTTAATTTGAAAATAAAAGTTAATGAAAATGCTCAAGCTTTTGAAGACGTCAGAGAGTGGATATATCTACGCCATCACGACCCATTTTTAGATATGTTACCGAGGGGCTCTAACCATGGACTCCTATTGCTTCAATGACTTCAGCCAAATGTTCTATACCTTCCTACATGTCTCGACTAAGAATCACAGAATTCATAGACAGATGTCATGTCTTGGTCTGGCCAGTGTAAGCCTTCTTCCAGCTGAGTTCCGCTTTGACTAACATTGCGCCTCAAAGTAGGTAATGGGTCAGTAGACGAAACATATATCTAAGCTACTTCAGTAGCTGAAGGTTTATAACCTCCCTGGCCCGTTTCCTTTCTTAGGATGGTGCCCTTCGTTTAGCCTCAACAGTGCTCGCACGGTGGCTGGCCATAGTCAAACAATGCCAGTAAGAAACTTGCATTCAAAGACCCGTAGTTTGTACAAATCTTTAGCTGTCAGAGGTCATACCTAATAGCTGCATAGTAGGACAGAACGGGTTGCATTACAGCAGACTTATCTTTCTATAGATTGTAGATTGGTTACCAAAACTCTTTACATAATAGGTGACAAATACATTGCCCAAAGTAGGGGAACTACTTCTTTCAACTTTTGCATAAGTGTATCCCTGTATATCGTTTATTTTTTTAAAGAGGATTTATTTCCTTCAGCATTCTGTGCTAATGTTTATTCAATCAGCAAAATTTAGGGTCACCTCTTACTCAGACACTTATTCATTTCGAGTAATGGTAGGATAGTTAAGTGGAAAAAAAAGAAATTTTCGAACTAATTTGGAGAGATGTGTAGTTTCTAAGATCTATATCCAGAGTTGGAATTTTATTTCAACCCTTGTCAACAGTTTAGCTAGTTGTCACTAGGAATTCGCTTCTTTTCAAATAAACGACGTTTACACTTAGAAGCACTGAAGAAGAGTATACAGTATTGGTTTGATCTCTGTGTAGATAAGCTACTTCTTATCTCCAACTTTATTCGGTTTACAGGTCAGAGGTAACCTTAACGTCTTTTATAAACCAAACTATGCTGATAACCTTTCGATGATTAAAATTGTAGGTTCTGTGCTGAACAGTTAAGCGCAGGATGTTACCTCTTTCCTACTTTAGTTGTGGCAATAAAGAATAACACAGAGAAACTTGGTGGCATTGTAGTATTCCTGGAAGTGGTGGTATGTCTCGATGGTGATTGATGCAGGGAAATCTACAACTCAATCGCTATCCAGATTTCCTGAAAAAGTCTAAGCCTGTACCGAATTTCAGTGCTTCCTCTGCTTGAGGCAAGAGTACCAGTAAGTAAGTAAGTAAGTTAGCAACTATCTAGAAGTTCGTGGAGGTTAATTGATTGATTCTGAGTTGGAGTTGATCATGGAATGACATCAGTTAGGGGAATTATTAGAAACTTAGGAACACTGGATAGCTGTTTCGTACTACAATGGGACTTCTCAGCAGTGCACATAGATCACTCCGCCCTCCAGAAATCGAGTCCACGGTCTTCAAATTCCTTGGCCAGCACGTCACCATTGAGTCATTGTATCAGAATCCACTGGTCTACATTCCCTACTTCTATCAGTTCACGATACATCATGATCTACATCCAGTGTCGTCGTTGAGTAGCTGTCCTGATATTTCTCGACTGGGTCATGCATGTACACTGCTGAGAAGTCACATACTAGTAAGAAACCGCTATCCAGTGCTGTCCGATTACTAATGTTCCTCCAACTATTAAATGTGCAATTGAGTAATTCCATAATTAAGCATGCCCAAAAATAGGTGAATAATCACAAGTTAGCAAGTAGATAATCAGATCAGTTAGTATTTAGGAAAGTTGGCTAATGAATGAGCCAGTTAACAAATGATTGCCTAACCGGTTCAAATTTACTTGAAAAGGAACATTTACAAATCTATATCCTCAGTTATAAATCAGTACAATATTTAAATAATAATTGGATATTAATTCTTGAATTAATGAGGATTATTCATTAGTTTAAGTCTGATAATATGCATAAATCGATATCTTCTTATCATTGATGTACTTAAGTAAGTTGAACGAAAACAAAAAAAAAAGAGGAGGAGATAAAGAACAAATAATAAGGATGACCATTAGAGATCATCTCATATGAATAGAGAAATAAATTGATCTGATTATCAATAGCTTACCTTGATCACATAAACATGATAGGCAAGAATAAGTCCTAAGAGAATGCATGTCGATATTGATATACATGATTTTGTAATGAATGAGTAAATTGAATCCTAAAAATAAACAAAAGAGAAAATATATGAGTAAGAAAGATAGAAGAGAACATATACATTTTATAAATAAATCTTTTGGTTAATTGTTTATGATAGGTGATTTGTAAATGGTATTGAAATGAACTGGAACCAATTACACGTTAACAGTTGTTTATTCATCGTAGACTGTTGAAGAACCATTCACTGAAAGCTTGGAAGTACTAGGCAGCTTCTACGTCCTAGTATGGGCGTCTTCAACAGTAATTAGACATGATCGATTCTAGAACCATTAGGGTTCGAGGGAAACATGTTGCCATCTAGCCATTTGATTAGAGTTCTGTCGGTCTGTCAGCTCTTGAAATAACAAAACTATCATTATTATTTGTCCCTTGGATTCCTAGTGAAACATATGGCTTCAATAACACACCTCCACTGCATCCTCTTCTCTGCAATCTTTTCAACCTCGGTTCACGACTGTTCAGAAGCTTTCATTTCTTCCTCACATCATCTCCTACATGTCACTCTCGCCTAAGACGCCCAACTCGTTGTGTTCCATTTGGATTCCACTAGACGGCTTGGCCTGGTTCGTGATGTCCCCACTCGGTCTTCTCAGTGTATGCCTGATCCATCTCCACTTTCTTCTGCATATTTGCTGGGTGATAGCTTCTTGGTTAGTTCGTTGCCAGTCAGATTGACTTTTTTGTTGCTTACTCTTATTATTCTGGCCATCCATTTGATTTCCAGTGTCAGTATCGAGTGAGTATAGACGGCAGCTGTTGATGTGATGTATGTCTGCAGCTGTTTGTTGGGATTGCTTTCCATAACGTGCCAAGTCTCTCAACTATCACATAGAAGCACTGACTAAAGGGAATTAGTGTTGAAAGTACGGATCTCGTTCACGCTTTATGCTAAGTTGAGTGGAGTGTATCTCCACACTGATTTCAGGTTAATGAAGTTCTGTCTTGCTGTATTTCCGATCCTGGCTTTGACGTCTTCATCTGTGCCTGTGCCAACTGTGGTTGAAAAGATGCTGCCTAGGTAGGTAAAAGAAACTACTTTCTTCAGACTTCTCCCGTTTATAGTGCTTGTTTTCGTTAGTCTTGCTGTTATTGGTTAGGTATCCTCATCACCTCTACCTCCGTCTTCTCTAAGATCACCCGAAAAAAAGTTCCGTCTTCCTTCGCTGCCTCACCTCGACTCGTCTCTTCTGCCAACTTGCCGGTTTTCGCCTGTTCGTCTTCAAGTTTGTGGGACATGACATTAACCATAAATCATCACAGGGGAAATCCAACTCTTCCTCTGAGTAGTTTTCATCGGTTCAGCCTGCGTATGCCCATTCCTCCTGTTGTGGATTTCCTCAACGGTAACCAGGCATGATCGAACCCAGAACTATGAATTTTAGAGGCAACGATGTTACCGTTCAGCTACTGGATTAGAATTCTGTGGGTCTCCCAACTCTCGATTTAGCACAACTATCATTCACTGTCATCAATGGCATCTGTTCCACCTTCTAGTTAGTTAGCCCGGTAGGTGACGATTGGATAGTCCCATAGTTCGACGAAACGGCTGTGCAGTACTTTCAATTTTCCAATGATTCTCCAGTTATAATGAGTTTCTGATGAATATCAACTGAGGTCAATCAATTTCTGCGAACCTTCAAAGTAAAGTTTTCATTTCACTGTTGCATGATATCCCGTTTTTAAATCTCTTGAGAAGTATACATGACAGTTGGTTAGAGGCAATCGGAAGGAAGCCATGCTGGACCTAGGTTTCATGTTTGTTGGCACTCGTCAGCAAGGTGTATCTACAACCTGGACAGAACTTATGTCCTGCCTAAGATTCTAATCGGCGTCACCCAATGATGTAATCAGCGACCTTACCACTGAGCTATTTGGGTCGTGATTAACCTCCTGCAGGACTACACAGCATGAAATTGGTTGCTGTCCCACGACCGATCAATACAAGTATACATGTCTTTAAGGTCTACGGTACGTGTGGCTACATCAAGTGTTCAACGTATATCAATGAATTTCGACTGAATTCGTTGGAAAGTGCAGTACACCTAGATGTCATGAACACTGCTGACTAGATGGTTAGTTCTTAAACGGACCATAAATTCATAGAATGATATCGTTATGGTCAGGATTATGCGAAAAATCAAGCAACTGATTCATACAGAAATCTTTGCTTCTGTATTACAAGTATAGAACATACCTACCGAAGCAGACAGTTAGGAACAGACTTGGCTTCAAATGTCTCCTGGAAATATGTAGATAACATAGTTATACTTATAAAAGCAGATTAAACCCATAGAAATTTCAATACACAAAATCGCTTGTTAATGTGACCCAGTTGTCTTATGAGTTAGAAAGTGTTGAATAGGAAGTAAGTATGGATTTATTGGTCACTGAAAGTTAGTCAGTTTCATGTTATGTAGTCCTAGATGTTGACCCAATCCCATCGACCATTCGGTGATGTGGTCGAAAAATTAGGAGACATCGATATGGGACACTGATTGACGTTAGCTGGCTGAAGGTGATCCTTAAGAAACCATGATTGACCTAAATTTCTTGCTCATTGGCAGTCTCACTTACTGGAGGACTGAGTGGTATGGATTCAAATCTCACAGGAATATCAGTCCCTTTGATGACAGATGCACTTTTTCAACAAGTGCCAAAAAGAAGAAAAGCTGGATGAAGTAGAGGTTCCTGTGGATCGGCTCCAACCAACTAACAAGAGCTAAGTATACTGAGGTGAAGGATTAGAAGTAAACCCGATGACAGCTTAGATATTGATGCCTATAGGAAATCTCTACATTCACATCAGTAGTTAAAATTCAGGTCTTCCAATTATATGCCGCTCAAAACTGGCTTAGGGAAGTGTCTAAACAAACGGTAAACAAAGCGACTATGAGATCAAAAGGATTATGAAAACAAAGGTGATTATTACGCAGACATTGGTGCTTAAAAGCCATCGAGAATTTAGTAGAAAATTGTACAAAAAATAAGGCAGGTGATGGTGACATAGGCGGCAGAAATACTAATAGTAATGGGGACACACGAAGAAGGTATAAAAATGTCTCCGAAGACTACTCCAATACAAAGAAGAAACTTCAGAAGCGTCACTTAAGATCGTCAGATTATTATTATTATCATTATTATTATATATCCCTTGGGTTCCTAATGGAACATACGCCTTCACTAGCACACCTCCATTACAGTCTCTTCTCTGCAATCTTTTCAACCTGGCTCCACCACTGCCCACAACCTCTCATTTCTTCCTCACACTATTTCCTCCATGTCACCCTCACCACGGACGCCCAACTCGTCGTTTCCCATCAAGGTTCCACTCGACCACCTGACCTGGCATGACGCGTGATGTCCCCACTCAGTCTTCTCACTCTATGCACAATCCCATCCATCTCCACTTCCTTCCACTGCATATTTGTTGAGTGATAGCTTCTTGGTTGGTTCGTCACCAGGCAAGCCACACTGAGTTCCTTCTTGATTAGTCTCACTATTCTGGCCAACTGATCTTCAGTAACAAGCCAGTTTAGGCACTTGTTGATGAATGTCTTTAGTTTGTTGGAAATGTCTTTCGTAACGCTCCAAGTCTCTGAACCATACAGAAGCACTGACTTGACTGAATTAGTGTTGAAAATCCGGATGTTTTTTCACATGCTGAGTGCAGATAGTTTGGTGTTAATGTCATGTTGAAACCCAAAAACTCACTGAAAAATAAACTTTGTAGGATAAAGGATTCTACTGAGGTTTCTACATAAAATGATTTACTCTTTTCAATCCCCCACTATGACTACAATATCAAATACACAAGTTGAAATAATCAACTTTGATTATTTACTTGTTCCAAGAAGAATTTTCCAGCCAAACATAGATGGATTGATTCCAACAAGAAAATGAACCTAAACGAAAAATCAGTCATATCGATGTGTACAATAAGACAGATTTGGAGAGGCTAAACACAGACCTGGTGAAATTTCAGAGCATAGAATCTATTAGGCGCTTCTTTCACAAACTCAGAGCCTTGATGATTACAATGATGTTAAGGCCTGGTAAGTCAGTAACTTGGTCTCGTATCTCATATGGATCGATAATACCAGTGCTGCTGCTTCGAATTTTGTCACGGTTCAGGTTTTCATTTATTTTGTAGTCATCATACTCTACCAATAATGCCGGACTGCTAAATTATTACTTTCACCTACAACTAACAACCATCAAAGTGCACCGCAATGGTGAACTTCTTAGCTTGGTGACCATATTGCAAAATGATTGATAAACTTCAGTCAGTAGTCAAGACTAGATAGCTTAAAATTCTTTAGTTTTCAGTGGATAGTTAATATATCTTATCTAGCCTTATATAAGGTCAATCGCAGTCCACATAGTTCAGTGGTATCGTCACTGACTGTACCACTAAACGACGCCAGTTTCAATCTCAGTGGGGACATTAATCACCTAGAGATTGCGGATACGCCTTACCGACAAGAGCCAAGAAGCAAAAAAAATCTAAGTTTACAACTTCCACTCAATTGTTTCTAACTAGCTGAAACTAGAACTATGTCACATAGTCTCATCAAGGATGATAATAATTCGTCTAGTCAGCCACAGTATGTCTACACTTCACTAAACTTAGCCGTTGAATTCCAACATGTAAGTTAATGCTTGGAATTGACATCTTAGCAACCAAATACTTTCATGATATCCATACAACAGATACAACTGATTGCGTACTACATGAAGCTGTAAATGTTAATATGAGTCGTATAACAACCCATGTATCTCACTAATCAGTCTATAATCAACAAAAGTCTAACATATGATTTATTTTATAGCCCTGTTATGTAGCTGACTGAGTTCAAGAGCTTTAAAGCGACTCCTTACTTATTTTCGTACGATTGATCACTTCGAAATAAATAAGCGTTAATTATTAGCTATTATTGTGCATTTTTTGAAAGTATCGCACACTGGGAAAACACATTCCTCCTTGTTTATCTGCATAATTCA